ATATTAGAATGATTTCTGAAGGATCATGTGACACTGAAGACTGGAGTAATTCAGCTTTGCATCACAGGAATAAATTTTGTTTTAAAATATATTCCAATAGAAAACAGTTATTTTAAGTTGTAACATTTCACAATTGTTTTTAGAGTGCAATGTTTGATCCAAATGATCCAAATACAGTAAAAACAATTGTGAAATGTTACAACTTAAAATAACTGTTTTCTATTTTTAAAACAATTAAAACAAAATTTATTCCTGTGATGCAAAGCTGAATTACTCCAGTCTTCAGTGTCACATGATCCTTCAGAAATCATTCTAATATGCTGATTAATTTGTTTAAAAAAAATCTTCATGACCCCAAACTTTTGAACGAGGTCAGTTTTTTGAGAATAGAGCTTTAATATTTTAATAGACTAGCACTGTTGCCGCCCATTCATTCGAAATCTCACCTGGAGCGTCTGAATCCAGCCAGGCCGGAGGGTGAGGCTTCTTCGATCAGCGGAGTCACGATTTTCTCAATCATGTCTGTCAGCACAGTGAAGGTGGGTTCCACGATGAAATCAATGAAACCTGTTAGGGAAGTGAAATGAACATCATAACACACAGACGCGGGTATACCATATACTATTGATTCACACACAAGCTTGATCACTCACCGATCTGAGACTGGGCCACCATGGTAGACTTGCGATCACATAAAGGAGAGAAAGGAAGTCCAAGCTCTGCCTCCTTATCGCCCTAAAACAAAAAGTAGAAGAGCACCAGCACCAATTAGCATCTTTTCAGGTAAAGATTTCTGATTATTAAAGGGGTCATATCATAGACCGTCATATTGCCTGGTAGTTGTTTTTTTAAACAAGAAAGCAATTTTTTATGACCATTTTCACCTCTAACTCTCTTAAATAGTCTTTTTTATTGCTGTGTCTTTAAGACATCTATGTAAATGTAGATGTTTGTGTAGAAAAGAAATATCTTTAAACACTTTTCACACTCAATTTATATATTATGCTTAATAGCATTCTGTGATGGAAATGATTGTCTGAAATGACATTTTTAACATTTCCGGATTTGCCTACATTGTCTTGCTAAAACTAATTTCATAGTTAGCACCACTAGTAAAAAAAAAAACCTATACATTTATTTAACATACATATATTTCATACTAAGTATACATCAAATGCATTAACATATTTATTGACATATCACTTAAGACTTTCTGATATAAAATTATAATTAAACTTTATTTGGAGTATTTCTTTACTGCACAATGCACATTTCTTAATATTATGCCTAAAATGTGTTTAATATCACTATTAACAAGGATTGTATGATCCAGGATTGTAAGGACTTTGTATTTAAAAATGCAAGATTTTTAAAGTGTACCTGAAGTATACTTGCAATAGTTCCATTTTAACACAATCAAATATACTTCAGTATATCTTTAGTTGGACCTCAGCACTATTTCCGCACAATTAAAGTGCATTAAGCACAAAATTAGTTGTTGCAATTTAGCAAATTTTAGGTATACCAGTTTAGTATACCAAAAGTACAATTGCATGGTATTTTTATTAAGCACACAAATATGTAAATGTATTTGTAGTATACTTAGCACAAAATAAATATATTTAAAATACATTTTAGTTTTCATTTACTGTATGCATCCTAAAATTGCCCAATTAAATGTTTTATTTTTTTGTGCTTTTTGTGCATAATTTGTCAAGACTGCAGCTTATTTGGAAATGACACACAACAAAAATATGCAGCTCACAAGTGATATTTACTTATTTCTCATATTTCGTTTTACTAACACAGTTGTCTTTTTTGGTAAATTTACATTTAAAAATCACCAAAAATAAATGATTTTATAATGTGTCACTGATACAGTGTAATACCATAATTTTTAACTCTGAACCTCACAGAATGTTTACATACAGTAGTATACTGACTTTTTGTAATATATCGAGAAATTAGATATCTTATGATATGACCTCTTTGTTACTGACCTATCCAGACAAAATAAAGCTTTTGGTTTAGGTTTCAGTTCATTTCACCATAACTGAAATCCCTCGTGTTCAGCTCAGCTGCATTCTCATTATTCTCTGAATCAGTTCATAGCACTTCATTTACAAACATCATAGATAATCCTGAGAAACAATAGCTGTAATTATCTTTGCTATGATTGTCTTTTCGCCGAATAATACAGCTATGACCTCTAAACAACATAGACTCCAATACAAATTACGTTCCTCAGGATGTTTTGCCAATCGCACTTTTCACAGTCACCATTAATTTCCTGCGCAACGCTGAGCGATATTTCATTCCTGACCCTGAAATTGCAATTATAATTTCTGGGGGTGATTTACCTGTGATGAACTGATCATTTATTAGCTTAAACATGTCAATAAATCAAAGATTCAATTTCACTCTTGTAGGAACACCAAGATGGGACCGGTGTGATATCAAATCAGACAATGGGAAGTTAATTGGTTTGGCACTATGAGGAGATACTCATCTCTTCAAAACACACTGTGTTTAGATCAGAATTAGATCCGTTTTCATTTAGCAAGGAAATTGAGCTCTACTTCATTATTTATTCAGTCATACAAGAAAGAAAATGTCCTGGAAAGCAATTCTGAATGACTACATCTTCACAGAGATGCAAAAGCTGATGGCATAGAGTGAAGCAGCGGAGATTCAAATGTTGAGGTTAGAATGCGGGAAATGGATGTTTAGAGGAGATTAATGGGATTTTTACAGTGGACGTTACAGGCTTGGAATGCTAAATAAGATTAAGACTCAATTCGAGATTAGATCAGAGTGCTGATGACCACAAAATGGGAATATGGACGATGAAGTGAGAGAGCAACAGACCGAGAGAGAGAGAGAGAGAGAGAAAACACTCACTGTATGATTGAAGAACCATAAAAACGTCTACAGGACACTGCTCTCAGCTTCAGACAGCATACCCCCAGGCCATTCACGCCCCGCCTGATGCATATTGCTCACGAAAATAGCAAGAGCTTTCTCAAAACCTCAATCTGTGGTCTGATTTTGAACACAATTTCCGGGAGTCAGGGTGCTCAGGGTTTTTTATAGGCCCACTGGGAAACAGAGTTGTGTTTACAAGGTATTGGGCTGCTGCAATGATGAGCACTTCCTAGAAAGAGCTAGGATGGATTTGCAAGGTTTTCGGCGAATGAAATTCAATTCGGAGATTTGTTTGAGGCGCTTATTTGGTAGCGAGTAAACAGGATATTCTCGACGACAACTGTATATTCTATTTTGTTTACATACATTTACTATAGTCTATGTATAAATTATTCAGCATTTATTCTAATCAAATCAGAAAGGAAAAATAAGAAATCATCTTTTTTTTTTCCACATGGAAGACTATTTGCAGGATTATATATTTTTTTTGTTTTGCATTTGCACAGTATAGTTTAAAGACAATTAAGGGCATTTTCTCAAATTTGTATTACCTTGATGCAATAAATAAATAATAAAAATCTCATTCTGATAATTTATAAAATAATTTAACTTGTTTTTGTTTATTGTTAAAATAAACATGCATACATGAAGTACAATAAATACTACCATATGTATAAATATTTTACAGTACAGTTTAAATATATTTTACATTTATTTATTTTTGTTCAATATTTTGATAACACTTTACAATAAGGTTCAATTTGTAAACATTAGTTAACAAACGAACAATAAAAAATATTCTAAATCATTTATTAATCTCAATGTTAATTTCAACATTTACTAACACATTAAAATCGAAAGTTGTGTCTGTTCATATTATTAAATGTACCTGAGATAACATGATCTAACAATGAGTAGTTGTATATTTATTAACTAACGCTAACAAAGAAATAAATACTGTCATAAATATTATTAAATAATTGATTTATTATTAAATAACCTCTTTTATATAAATAACCTTTAATCTTTATTTTATATGTTTTAAACAAACTAACAATCAATTATTATTTTGAAATTCTTAATTTAAAATAATAATCACAATACATTTTATGGTCTTAAAAATAGGCTCTTTTTGTTTACTTCAGGCAAAATACAGAATTTCTTATTTCTTTCTTTTGAGTTTATGAAATATGAAGTATGACCCAGAAAAAGCTTTGATGAGATTTAGGTGCTTCTATAATTATAAGAAGACTTAATGCTGCTACTGAAATGTCTCGGGACACTGACCTGTCTGAAGAACTCCTCCAGCAGTGAGGTGGTCCAGCGGTGGTGCATGTTCCAGTTTTTGGCAGGGTGGCTGATGTCAGCGGTGTGCAGTAACAGGGATAAGGCCTTGGGTTTATCGATCCTGCAGAGGACAGAGATGTTCAGCCCCTCAGAGCTGTTATAATCACTCTGTCCAACCTCTCATTATGTGGATATGAATATCTGTAGATGCAGAAATGTTTTTGTGTGAACAGTGTGTGATTAGCTAAAGCCCCTCCTCCTGGTTACCCTGATGTGTGCGACCGCACTTACGCTTCAGGCTGCTGGAGGAAGTTCTTCATGGCCTTAATCTGCTGGAAGTGACAGGACATGTCAGTGGCCAGGACCATCTCGACCACCAGAGCCCGCAATTCTCTGAGAGAAAGAGACGTTTTCAGTATTGACTTTAAAACAGGTTACATTCAGTAAAGAACTAGAAAATAAGTTAATTGTGCATAAGTTCTCCTATGCTGTTTTAGTTTCTAACCTAAAACTAAGATTACTTTTTGAGCTAATATGTGACCCTGGACCACAAAACCAGTCTTAAGTCGTTGGGGTATATTTGTAGCAATAGCCAAAAATACATTGTATGGGTCAAAATTATTGATTTTTCCTTTATGCCAAAAATCATTAGGATATTAAGTAAAGATCATGTTCCATGAAGATATTTTGTAAATTTCCTACTGTAAATATATTAAAACTTAATTTTTGATTAGTAATATGCATTGCTAAGAACTTCATTTGGACAACTTTAAAGGCGATTTTCTCAATATTTAGATTTTTTAGCACCCTCAGATTCCAGATTTTCAAATAGTTGTATCTCGGCCAAATATTGTCCTATCATAACAAACCATACATCAATGGAAAGCTTATTTATTCAGCTTTCAGATGATCTATAAATCTCAATTTCGAAAAATTAACCCTTATGACTGGTTTTGTGGTCCAGGGTCGCATATAAGTTTGAGGTTTGCAACACGTTTCTAACCTCCAGTCATCTTTCGACAAATTGTAGAGAATGTTCATTTCATCATCTTCCTGCAGGAGGCGATATGCAGCGCTAACATGGTGGTTCTCCTGTACGGCACGGTCATTGTATAGTATGGCTGTGTCGGATCTGTAAAAAACATTAGTTCTGTTAAAGGCCATTGATGTATTCGGTTTGCTGAACTGAATGATAATGGGGTTTAATAGCAATAGTACCTGGCCTGTATGTGGAAGTTGTTTGTGGTGCCAGTATGTTCGTAATCGTGCACAGCAGCAGCGAACAGCATAGCGAAGATCTCCAACTCGGTTAACCAGTGCTGGAAGAAGTGAGATAACAAGAGGAAATCCCATTTTTACTGAAGTGTTTTGATACAGTCGGTTAATTCTTTTGGGCATATTGCTGTTATAATGTCCATTGGGCCAACAAGTGAAAGAAATTCTCTCTCTGCTAATGCTGTAAATTATACAGGACAGTATCTGAGACTGATTCAAACAAGTAGCTCATCTTTTTGAACGAATTCATTGAAAGATCCGAGTCATAGGAGTAGGAATCAGACTCTACTGCTCATCCTGTATCTATCCGATTCACCAAAACGAAGCGGCTCTAAAGAGTCATTTGTTCAGAAATCAGACTACTGGTCACCCAGTATATATCTGATTCACTAAAAAGAGCTGACTACTAAGAATATCAGACTACACTGATCAGCCTGGATATTTTTCATTCACTAAAGAGCTGGTTCAAGAGAGTGATTCATTCAAGAATCAGACTACACTGGTTAACCTGCAATTTATTTGATTCACTAAAAATAACCGACTCAAAAGAGTCATTTGTTCATCTATTAAATTACACTAGCTGTGTATGTTTGTTTTAACATGCAGATTGAGGAAAACAATAGATGGAAATTTCATACGAACAGAAGCAAAAATGTGCTAAAAAAATCACTCCAAACACCATTCATGTTCAATGAAAAACATTCATTATCAGAAAATGTAAAGCCCCATTACGTATTCTTTAATAAATAATATCGTTCTGCTAAACTGAAGATAAGCATGAAGGAAATGAAATTATATTAGTTCATTATTCTTCGGCACATTTATTCTTCTGTGCATAACATTATCTTACATTAACACTAAATCACCAAAGTGCCAGAATGACAAAAAGAAATCATCAGTGGTGCAAATGCTAGGGGGCAAATCATTTGTCAGCACGCCAGTGTGATGTCCACACATCACAGAGAGGTTAATGAGCCCACGGCGGGAGTGACAGGAGCGTGTTTTGAGGCGTCGAGGGAGATTAACTTCCTATTGATTGGTATACGAGAGCAGCATCGCGAAGCGAGAGCGGACCGTTGCACCTACTTCCATTCCAAGAACCCCAACCTCAATAAATACCTCAAGTGCAGTGTCAGGCTTAATAAAACATACTTCGGTTCAGTAGAAATAACAATAATAAACAACCGAGGGGACTCGATGTACATGATTATTTTACCCAAGCACACATAAGCATACACAAATCCCCAAAGGCAAGACTGTTGCTTGAATTCACAGGGTCTAGGACACCACTTTTTGCGAAGGAGGTTACAACCATGGACTTACAACCATGCCGGTCTTGAGCACTAGGTAATGCACTGTCTGGGTGACGTCTGCGGCATGGATTAGGTTGTGGTAAGGGTTTCTGTGCTTGCTGTAGCCCACCTCCAAGGCCTCCACAAAAGACACCAGAGCAGAAACAGGGATCTGAGGAGACATACAGTGTCAAACAACCATCTGAGGATGATCATCTGGACTTTGCTATCAAATGTCATTATAATGGATGGTTGAGTCCAAACACGTAGCAAATGCCATTTCAATGTTGGTAAATATAAAATTCTCAGGTTAACGTATTAGTTAAAAATTTGTACATGGAAAATAGTGCTTAAAAAATTACATTAAAAATTAAATTAAATTAAAATCACAAATAATAATAAAATAAATTTAAAACTGACTAAATCGGATGCGTTTCGTTCTGCTTTACATTTTCCTATTATGATGTTCTCAGATCCACAGATATCACTGAGGAAATCACTGGAAGGTAAATTTTAAAATTATGTACTTTTAATAAAAAGAAAGAGAGAGCATCTTACCTTAAAGCGATTGATTATGTCGTATCTGGTGAGAAGTTCATAAAAAATAAATTTCAGTGCATGATCTCCGCTGGCATCATTCAGTGTGAAGACGTCAAATGACCACGTGTCCACATGCTAGACCAACAACAACAACAAAAAATACAAATAAAAAAAGAGTATAGTAACATGAAATATCTATATTACCATTCAAAAAGTGTTTTTTTTTTTAATGAAAAAAGTCTCTTATGTGCAACAAGCCTGAATTTATTTAACCAACATTATAGTAAAATCCTAATATTGTAAAACATTTCCGTTTAAAATAACATTTCTATTGGAGTATAATTTAAAATGCAATTTATTTCTGTGAAGGCAAAGTTGACCAGCATTTATTTAAAATAGAAATGTAACATTATTAATGAGTTATTTTTGATAAACTGAATGCGTTATTTCTGAATAAAAGTATTAATTTCATTAAAGAAAAAAAATCTTTCTGACACTACTTTGAATAGTAGTGTATACAGTATAGCTTTTAGTAAATTCCTATAGAAAAGAAAAATCACAAATAAGATCTCTTTGTATCTTCGGAGCTATGAAATAGCAACTGAGACTTTATTTTATGATGCCTTTGCCTATAAACATGATAAGATGTTCACAGTCCTGGAGCCTCAGAAATTGCTGCTTTTACATAATGTAGTAATACCAGCCTCGTTTCTTTTTTTATAACGGATAAATTACTTTCACCTCCCTTATAAACAGGGTCTGTGATGAACGATGTGTGATTCTATCGTTGTACATTTCAATCCTGAGTCATGAAATGAACATCAGTAATAATACAGGAGATTTGGTCTACATTATGGCTGCCTGTGGTTTATGTGTTCTCCATTTTTTCTCTCTCTCCTCCATCCACTCTAAGTTTGACCCTCTGTTATTTCATCTCATCACTTTCAAAGAAAGTTCTATGAAGGTTTGATTAGTTGGTTGCAATGAAAATTTGCAAAATGCTGCATTAAATATTCACATCCTCAGATTGGAATATTTGTCCTGCACTCCGTCTCAGTCACGGCTGAGAGCTTTCAATATCTTTAGGCTGTATGTGGAGATATATATATATATATATATATATATGCAGATTCACTGACTGCTGTGAAATCAAAAGAGAGAGGCCAAAATCATGCTGCAAAGCCACCAAGGACATCCAGTACAAACCTGCTGCCTCATTTAGAAAACACTCTTACGATCAGATTTTACCCTAAAATCTGTGCATTTGATCCTATGCTAAAATTGAAGCATAAACTGACAAAAATATTCTTATACAAACTTTATGATGAAAGTGTAAACATATTAATTTACATTTATAATATATTATATTAACATTAATATCATGAATTATTACATTTTTTAGTTTTAGTTTTTTTACAATACATTGTTGTTTAAAAGTTTAGGGTGAGTGAGACTTTTCTTTTAAGAAATGATTTTTATTTCGCAAGGATGCATTAATTTGATCAAAAATGACCGTAAACATTTATAACGCTACAAAAAACTTCTATTTCAAATAAATGCTGTTTCTTGAGCAGGAAATGGAGATATTAGGATAATTTCTGAAGGATCATGTGACACTGAAGCCTGGAGTAATGATGCTGAAAATTCAGCTTTGCATCACAGGAATAAATTACACTTTAAAACATATTAAACACAAAACAGTTACTGTAAACTATAATAATATTTCACAATATTACTGATTTTAAATGCATTTTTGATCACATAAATGCAGTTTTGGTGTGCATAAGAGGCTTCTTTCAAAAACATTAAAAAACATGACTCTACACATCTTTATGAATGAGGTCTGGACAAGGCAAAAGGATTAAAAACTCTTTATATAAAACGAAGCCGTCATTAGTTTCAGCTTATTAACTTTCATTTTCTATTACGATTAGGTGGACAGAGCCAGCAAATTACTGCTATTGTTTGACAAGAACATGTGTATTAGTATTCTGTTACTTATCCTTCTCACCTAGCAGAAACTTTATACATTTACCTGCACATAAAGCAATGAGAAGCAAACTGACTCACTCAAGGGCACAAGAGTTATGAGGGACTGCAGGAGATCTCTATTCCATTTCCAAAGTTTGAACCTTCGCCCTTTGTCATACCAGCCTTGAGGCTTAACCACTAGGACACCACATTATTCTGTTCATCTGACTTTCATCCACAGACCTCAGAAAAAGGTTTGTGCTGTGTTGCATGTAGAATTTAAATGGGGTTGGATGTTTACAAATACTGCATGTTCAAAAACCTAGATGTTTAACTCGTAGTACTCAACAAAACACAGGCTTTGGGTAAACACATAGGTAAAGTTGTTTTAATTTAATTTAATTGAATCTTTTTTTATTTTACATCTGAAGTGACCATATTGCACACTTCTTCTGGTTCATTTGACACAGAATTTTAGAATCACAATAGGCAACAGAACAAAATAATATTTTAAAAGATTGCAGATTTATGACTGAAATGACAGAAGGGAGTAACTCTAAGCCGTCCTGCCACAAATTATTGAAATCAAAAATGAATGAGAAGCTGATAGGAGAACAGATGCAGCTGATAACAGCTCTGAAATGGCATTCGTGATCGAATCGCAGCAGATAACTGGATGTATAATTTGGACTATAATTTCATGTGGAGAAAAGGATTAAAATCAGCATATTTTGCATTTGCCTAATACACTAGCATTCAAAAGTTTTGGACAGAAGTCTCATGATCACAAAAGCTGCATTTATTTAATCAAAAACAGTAAAAACGGCAATCTTGTGAAAAATGATTACACTTTAAAATACCTGCTTTCTATTCGATTATATTTTATATTGTGATTTATTCCTGTGATACAAAACTGAATTTTCAGCATCATTATGCCAGTCTTCAGTGTCACATGATCCTTTAGAAATCATTCTAATATGCTGATTTGCTGCTCAAGAAGCATTTATCATCATCAATGTTGAAAACAGTTGTGCTGCTTAATATCTTTGTGGAAACGGTGATGCTTTATTTCAGGATTCTTTGATGAACAAAGAAATCTTTTGTAACATTATAAATGTCTTTACTGTCACTTTTGATCAAGTTACTGCTTCTTTGCTCAACAAAAACTTGAATTTCTTTGAACCTTTCAATCTTTCTTACTGACCCATAATGTTTTCTATACACATCAGTATATAATTCAGATTCTGTCCACAGCCATTTAAATAAATCAAGTGCGTGATTTTGTGTGTTTGTGATAAAAAGAAATCTCTGTTGTCCACATATGCTGCATTCTATTAGACAAGTATCCAAAAAAGAGGCTAAAATCTCTCTGTCCTGTCTAAACCGTGTGTGTGTGCCAGGTAACCCAGCTGGCCGAGGGAAAGATCAATTGTGCACTTCGGTTGATTAAACAGGGCTGTTTGCCTGGAGACGGTTTGATTTTGCCATCTCGCCCTTGTTGTTTCTCACATAAGCTATTGTGCATACAAAATGTGTCGCATTCACACGTCCCGCATTCATGCTGTGACCAGGTTGTGCGTGTGTTTGTGCATATGTGCATTTGAGGTCACAACCTAGAATCTGATTGGCTCGTTCCATTACCTTCAAGGCCGTGATCACGCTGGGCGGATAGCTCAGCCCCACCATGTTGGAGGTCCGTCGGTACATCCTGTCAGAAAGAGATAACACTCTCCTGTCAGTGTGTGAGAGCTTCTGGGAAATAAAAAAGGGGGAAATCCCTTGTTTCACTCCAGATGTCCTTTAACATTCATATTTTAGGAGCATGCAGTGCTGGAAATATGAGACTAGACAGGAAATGCACAGCAGGGTCACAGGTCAGTCCTGATCGATCTATGAGTCAGGCCCTGCTTAAAATGTATCAGCTCTTTGAAGGTTTCCATCTATTACCTGTGGGATGCCTATAGGGTTTAAATTGGTTTACTTTATACCGTTAGCTTTGGAAAAACCCTCACACACCTTTCCACAAATATCCCTGCTTGCACCACATGCACGATGCTGCGAAATCGTGGCTTCTCCTCCGACCGTCTCAACATCAGCCCCATCTGACGTGTGAAAGTTGACGCCAGCCAGTCGCGCACTTCTGAGGGAACAGAGTCGGACTGGATGTCACTGAGCTCATCTTCTGTATCCACCAACCGCCTGCAGGAGTATACACACTTTGGAATGGTAGTGTATGTGTTACAGAGGAGGCTCCCGTATCGCCTCCTCCGCACCACCAGAGGGAACTGTCTCCAGAATATTAGCGATCTCCCATTTGGACTCCATTTCCCATCATCCCTCATGCCTGGGACTGATTACACAACCACACCTGCACCTCATTTACACACACACACACACACACACACACACACACACACACATATAAGACACGACTGCTGTCTGAAGACACTAAATGGGTAAGTCATGTCACTTTCGATCATGTCAGATGAAATTTCAGCCAAGACGCCTCTGAGCAAAAGTGATGGAAAGAAAAAGATAAAAATATACAATTCCACTTCAAAGACAAGGGAAATACAAACTAACATATCTGATCACCTAAACATAACTTACATATGGAAAACCATCTCCACCACAAAAATTCACGCTTTGATATATCATAATTGACGATATAATTCTAAGATAAAAAGTTGTAACGGTGACAGAAAAAGTCAAAATTCTATATAATTACGAGATAAAAGACGAAATTATGACTCAAGTCAAAATTATGAGATAAAGTCATAATTGCGACAGTCAAAATTGATATACTGATAATTATGACAAAAAGTCAAAATTGAGAAAAGTCCAAATTATGAGATAAAAAGACATAATTGTGACAGCTGACTTACTAAATTATAATTCTGATACAAAAAGTCCAAATTATGACGTTATAATGAGATAAAAGACGAAATTATAAGTCAAGTCAAAATTGAGAAAAGTCCAAATTATGAGATAAGACATCATTGTGACAGTTGAAATTGACATACAAAATGATAATTCTGACACAAAAAAGTTGAAATTATGACATGTCAAAATTACAAATTAAAAGATCAAATTAGAAGTCAAAATGATGACAAAAAGCCAAAATTGGCAATCAAAATTATGAGATAAAAAGTCATAATTGTGACTAAACTGTAACTGACATACTAACTAATATTTATGACAAAAAAATTCAAAAGTACGAGTTAAAGTCATAATTATAATATGACGAGTCAAAATTATGACAGTCAATTATGACAAATTAATTAGACTTTCTCATAATTATGACTTAGTATTTCATAATTTAGACTTCCCATAATTATGTCTTTTTATGTCACATGGTGCTGCGAGTGGATCACTGAGTTGATCATAAGAACTCTGATTCATGAATGAATCACTGAAACTGGTTTTGTGAACAGAATCAAATAGTTCATTCAAAAAAGCATTGCTATTTCTCTCGTGAACTCTTATGAGCATGCTGAAAAGAGCGAGGGTGGACATCAAGACTTTTTATTCATTAATTTGGTCTGCTCTTCTTATAAATTTAAGATATGGGAAACACAATATGGCACACAAACTTGTATGGACTATAATTATGATACTTTATGTCATTTTGCATCCAGTTTGACGCCTGAAAGCTCCAGTTCCTATTCATTACAAGTGCATAAAAAAGAACAACAAACATAGGTAGATTCAGCAAAAATGTTCCTTCTGTGTATTTTAAAAGTAAATTAAACAGGTTTGGAAAAACATAAGGGTGAGCGAATGATGCAAAATTTGCATTTAATTTGATGCGTGGCACATTTCCCTCTCAGATGGTTGCCAACATTTCCATTTCTGTTTAAACAACTGAATAAAAACACATCAAATGCTGGAGCACTCATGGCAGTAAGGAGACAGCACTACAGAGCACATGCAATCCCTCTTATAGAGGTTTAAGAGCAGCTTTAGAGATTAAACACACTCTAGGAACAACATAAACCTCTGACCCCAAATTTGTCGGTTTAATATTTGCCCCCAAAAAAAGACTAAGAGAAATTCACAATGTATGTGTTGTGCTTACCTTGTTTCTTCAATGTAGACAGATTCCAAAACAGATGCAGCATATTCTAGGTTTTTCTTCAAGTCGACAACAGAAGCCTCACCTCTCTCCAACTGTTTCACCAAACATCTCAGCCTGAAATGAAAAAAAAAAAGTTTTTGGGTTTAATGGCCTGGATTTAATTGTCTTTAATGAATAGGACAGTGGAGATAAGGGGAAAAAAGAGATAAAAATAAATATAAAATAAAATAGATTCAAACCAAGTCTTGCTGTGGATTAAATTCTGACACAAGGCACCAAAAACAAAACAAACGATTTGCATTTTTGAAGCAAAAACAATTGCTTAAAGCAAATGATGTTTGAGGCAACCGCATAAACACATTTCATTACACCAAATACACAAAATAATGTTCTTTTTAGCAGCATCATATGACCCCTTTAAGTTTTCTTTAAAAGTCAGTTTGAAGCCCAATATGTGTGCTGAACATTTGCGGGGTGGTTTGTGGCTGCCAAATACATTTTACACAAAGCAAACAGATTCATCCATCATCTTTATTGCTAAAGATGATAAAAGCTCTCTATGTTGCTGACCATCTCCAGATTCTTTTCACTACTGAGAAATAAACTGATCCATTCTGTGTTGACTTTGACAAAGTGTTCAGCTGTTATCCAAACAGACTGAATGTGTATTATAATAAACATATAGTTCCAGTCTTGGATACCGAGTTCCAACAGTGCTAAAATCCACAATATAATAATAGCTATGCAGTGAAACACCTGCTTTGCCTTAGTTTAATGTCCTCTTGTCCCCTTTTAAAATTTTTAAGAAGCGTTTTTTTCTTTGGATTCCCACTGGTGCCCCCCAAAAATATTAGCAGGCAGCATCAAGTCTCTGGCACCATTGCTATAATTCAGTGAATAGTCTGCATCACTGTTTTGTTTAGGAGCCACACATAGTATCTCTGAAGTGAACTACGATCTTCAGTCATGTGGACAGAGGGCCAAATCAAAAGGCCAAACGTCCCAGGTGTGTGCAGCAGAGAGATTTCTCTGCATGGGTCTGGGCGATGAGGTGCGTGTTTGCATGAATGGCGAACACAGGAAACACGTTTGACCCAATTCCCATCCCAAATGACTGGACTGAGCGAGCCAGAGAAGCATGCAGGGAAGAGACAGAGTGAAATCATGCAGTCAATCTACTGTGGAAATGTATAAGAAGATATTTTGCAATATATAAGAAGATATTCCAAAAGCACATTTAGGAGAATGCTGGTTTTAAACATTTCAGTTCCCACGGACTTTAAATGTATGGATAAAAATCACAATGAAAGTTAATTGGAACCAAAACTGGTAATAAACATTTGTCAAAATATCGCGGTGGCTTTTTTTTCCTCAGAATTGTGAGATATAAACTTACAATTGCGAGTTATAAAGTCATAATTGCAGAGTATAAATTCGCAATTGCGAGAAATAAAGTCAGAATTGGGAGATATAAACTCACAATTCTGACTTTTTTCTTGCAATTGCGAGTTTGTATCTCACAATTAGGACTACTTTTTCGCAGAATTGAGAGATATAAACTCGCAATTGCAAGTTATAAAGTCCAGTTCTGAGGAGAAAAAGACTATGTTCTCAGAATTGCGAGTTTATATCTCACAATTCTGACTTAATTTCTCACAATTTTGAGTTTATCTCAAATTCTGAGAAAAAAGTCAGAATTGCAAGATGTAAACTCGAAATTGTGAGAAAAAAAGTCAAAATTGTGAGATACTGTAAAAAGTCGCAATTACCTTTTTTTAATTTTTTTTTTATTCAGTGGCGGAAATGGGCCTCCATATGAGGGTGAGTAAGTGATGACAGAATTTAAATTTTTGGGTGGACTATCCCTTTAAATTCACAGTTCTGTTCAAACTTTCTGATTTATTTCACAAAAATAGTATGGTTCGACTGTAAATGCTCTCCTAAAAACATGGTAATACCATGGTACTTGTCAAAAAATCATGTTTTTTGCATTTTTGCAAGTAAACAGTGTCTTGATACACTGACTCACTTATTTTTAAGTATTGATAATTACACTGAAGCAGTCTTTATTTAATTGAAAATTAGGGAAAATTACCATCGAGAAATAAAATAAAATAACAGTTCTGTGGCATAGCCATGATACTGATAATAAAAAATGGAATTATAAAAAATAAACATGAACAAATCTTGAAAGTGATCAGTTTGGAAGTATTTGCATATTTAGTCCATTTCTACAAAAACGGACAACTTGTGACTCTTCTCTCAATGATCTCTTGTCCTCTATCTTCAAGTGGTCGGCAGCTGTGTTATTTGAATGAAGTGCTCTCGTTCAACTGAAAAGCGTGACGTTGGAAGCAGGGTCGAGGACACGCTGTTTGAACAATGTTATCAAAACAGGCGAAGCGGAGCAGAAACACATTCCGCTGGCATCCCCAAGGAATCCCCTCCTTCAGACAAACACACAATCGATGCCGCAAGTCAATGCCATCCCATTAGAGGATTAGTACTTCCTAGAATCTGTCCGGAGTAGAAATGATAAGAGCAAAAATTCTTTAGACGTGTGCGTCCGCTCAGCCACAACTGCACAATCTATGACCTTTCTAATACAGAAAGAGCCAGATTAGATGCTTATGATTAGACCATTAAACCACGCCTTTCGTCTCATTTTGGGAGCGGATCGGATATAGACAGCATGTTTCAAATAAAGGTCTTGTGGGCTAAAAGAACTGAGGAACGTAAATGTGTTTTTGTCGTGATTGCTGAGCTCAGTAATGTCTGTGAACAGGAAATGGAGAAGCCGAAATGCATCAACAGCTGAATTCTACAGGGAAATTCACTTTTAATGTCCATCTGACAGACAGTGGTCAAAAGGGAACTGCTTTTATTGATTGTGTGTGTGTGTGTGTGTGTGTGTTTTTCTTAAAATGGCATGTGTTGTTGATAAGGATAGATTATGATGCCAGTATACCCTGTGCACCCAACAAAACATTTTCTACTGCATAATTTGTGTATATTATAATAGTATGGGAATTTCACACTGATTTTATTTTAATTAAATGTAAACATAATTATCAGGCTTTGGGTAAATACTCATACTTTAGGCCCATACTTTAATCCATCTATGCTTGTATTTATTATTCATTATTATTATGTTTATTAATAATATGATTATAAATTATAAATAATATTTAACAATGACATGTTCAAATAAAATGTAAATAAACTAAATAATATTATAATATATATTATATTACAAATAATATTTAAATAATAATAAATAATAATTAAATGTAAACATAATAATCGGGCTTTGGGTAAATACTTGTACTTTAGGCCCATACTTTAATCTGTTGATGCTTGTTGGTTATATTAATAATAATAATAATAAATATTAGTATTATTATAATTATTAATAATAATAACAATTATTATTACTATTATGGTTTATTAATAATATTATTATTATACATTATAAATATGATTTAAACAATTACATTTAATGTGTCTGGCCGAAGGCGAGCTTTGTATGCAAATATCATTCTATTCGATGCTCATTCACTGTCATATTTTGTCTGACAGACATACAGTTTGTGTTGTATGAACAGACCACCAGTGGTATCACACACTAGGCTTCCTGTTCATTAGCGGCTCCTAATGAGCATGTGTGCCGATGACTCATCATGAATGTTTGACTGTTGCAGAGCAGATAAACTCCAGCCTAAGACTGCAAACTTGTGAAGAAAGACATCTAAGCCAGACTCTATAGCTATGTTATAAAAAGTGAGCTTCCTACCTAGACAGCATTTAAATAAATAAAATGGATAGATAGATATGCTTAATCTTATTTGTTTTTAATTGTATTTTATTCAATATATATGTGTGCTACATGTTTTAATGTTATATATTTTAGTATTGTGTTGTTCACTTGTGTTTAGAACAGAGGTTTTGTCACCATTGACTTTTATGTCTGTGCTGAGGCTCTAGATCTCAAGGGCGTCACAACCAGATCACTCAATGGAGTATCAGATACAGCACGAACAGGGAAACACTATTAAAACACAGACCTCTGGAGAGACGTGACGATGTGTGGACTTTCTTGTCTGCCTTTTTTCACCTCTTGAGATACTTCAAGGTCACTTTTAATCCTTCCTTTAATCGTGTCTGCCACCTTTTACTCTTTCTTTTAATATATAACACACACACAAACACAATCTCACACACACACACACACACAACACACACACACACACACACACACACACACACACACACACACACACACACACACACACACACACGCATTAACTTACACAAACCGCTTACCCAAAAATCAACAGATGTCCTCTTTCGTTCCACCCTCCCCCATGCTCTGAGAGATTTCCATCTTTCTCTCTCCACTGAAGGTCAGTGGACGGTCTGTTTTAAGGTTAGTCATTGAAGATCTGAGCCACTATCACACTTTACTGACTTCTCGAAAATACACAAAAGCTTCTGGACGTCTGAGGACACAGGATTTATTCAGGACGTACGTGTCTCACTTGAGTTCCTGTATCGTTGCACTGGCAGACGCTTCCATCACTAAGCACAATCTCTGGTTGGTTAGTTTGACAGTCTGGCTGTCAGATTGAGGTTCTGTTCCAAATCCTCATGAGTTGCCTCAATGTCTACAGACTTCTTAATTGAAATAGACACGCATATCTGACCGATTTGGAGTGTTCTTCATATGAAGTAACTCATACATTAGTGTTTTATTCAAATAACACGAAGAGAAATCAGTTCCCAATTGATTTCAATGCAGTTTGACGTTAGCATGTGGCAAACAACAATACTGATTATGTGCTGCATTCAAGGAATACATTTTTATCGGTTTATGCATTCCCTGGCTTTGGAATTGAACCCATGACCTTGGCAAAGCTTTCGCTATGATCTACTTTTTAAGTTGCATGAATGTTAATAATATAAGTATATAAAAAATAAGTATATCATAATAATATTAAAATATACTATATAAATAAATAAAATGTAAATAGAATATAAAAAAATCAGTTTGACAAAATTCTGGATAAAATATGTAAATAGAATAAAGATAAACAGAGGACAGAGAAAGAAAGAAA